AAAGTTGTTAGTCTCGAAGGGGGACATCCAATGATACCAAACTCGACCTCCCACCCCACTCCCTGGGGGTGGGGGTTGGGGGCAATTTTGAAATCTTAAATAGAAACCCCCATTTTTTATTGCAGATACGGATTCTACGCCACAAAATACGTAAATTTTGTCCGAAACTTTTTTTTTATTCGTGATAGATGGCGCTGTAATCGCAAAAAATTATATTTTCCGCAATTCTCCAGAAATGATCATTGGATTGAGAAATAAAAAATACCTGTTCAATATTTTTAAAGAACATAGAGATGTTCAACATTTTTAAAGAATATACATAAAGAACATTTTTAAAGAACATTTTAAAGAACGCCGGATTTCTTTCTGTGGGGTTACCCAAAAGATAAGGTTTATCAACAAGTGCCAACAACTCGTGAAAACATGGTAGAACGCATAAGAAACGCTTGCGCTGAAACTCCCGCAGATATGCTTCTATCCTGTGTACAGTCATTTGAAAAAAGGATCAATAAGTGTATTGAAGTTGAAGGTAAAAATTTCGAACACTTACTCTAATTAATTGAACAGTGAGAGGCAAGGGGATTCACATTAAAAAAGCACCCGAAGGGAACATAAAACTACTACGTCCTCGTCGTTGTTCCTGTGTAACGCTAAAAGTAGTTTCTCGGAAAAATTCAACGCTATCTATCACGAATGAAAAAAATTGTTTCAATAAAAATTTCACGTACAATCTAATTCTGCAATGAAAAATGTGGGTTCCCATCTGAGATTTGAACGTTATCACCCACTCTACCCCGAGAGGATGGGGGAGAATAACTTTTATTATGTTCTTTAAAAATATTGAATAGGTATTTTTTATTTCTCAATCCAATGATCATTTCTGGAGAATTGCGGAAAATATAATTTTTTGCGATTACAGCGCCATCTATCACGAATAAAAAAAAAAGTTTCGGACAAAATTTACGTATTTTGTGGCGTAGAATCCGTATCTGCAATAAAAAATTGGGATTTCCATTTAAGATTTCAAAGTTGCCCCCAACCCCCACCCCCAGGGGGTGGGGTGGTCGAGTTTGGTATCATTGGATGTCCCCCTTCGAGACTAACAACTTTCATTAACCACTTTTTTTTATCCAATGCATAGTTCTCGAGATATTTCAATATCTTCAGATAAATCGTGCACCCTGTATATACGCAATGTTAATTAATTAAACTGATTAAACATTAATACGTGTTGTATCTTTAATTTCATATTACCACTTGAAGTAGACATGAGAATGCGCGATACTACCTTCACATTGTTCGCTCAATTATAATTGCCGTCGTTAATCCACATCGCATGGTAAAAATTTGGCATACGAGCCAAAACTCATACTGTATATATACATATATATATAAAAAGTGGAAATTATTCAATCAAATAATCGCAGATAGATATTATGTATTTCTTGTAAAACTAAATATATATTGTTTGTATAAAAATTATTTATAACAAATGAAACTAAGTACTCTATAAAATTTACAATTGTCAAATACGTTTTAAATATTATACTTTTAATGATAAAATATAACTGCTAGTGACATAAAATGATATATTTGGTATATAATTTTTATTATTTTAATTTAATTTTTAAAAACTGTTTCTAGATATATATAATTTGTGATGTTTACTTTCAAGAATTGGTTTGATGAATCGCAGATCGTTATTACATAAATTTTAGTTCCCTCAACATGTATATAATATATTGCACAAATGGAGTTTTAACTACATCTAATAAAAATTACTATTCAGAAAAAATATATTAATAAAAAGATAGCACAGTACGTTCTAAAATTATCTTATGGACTTAAGATATCGTGGGACACTGTTAGAAAATATCTTAGACATGTGACTCTAAAGTATCTTGTACTACCTAGCTGTTAAGACTCCTGGAAACTTGTCGCGGACATACTGATGTGATCATATTGGATACATTACTGCTTCGAATATTGTGCTTCTTTTTTGATAGTCAATTAATGATCATAAAACAATTGTAATATAAGGACTAGTTAAACGCATTATATAATTATTATATGATAACCTCATGTCAGTTATTTTATAATTGTTGATTGACTATCAGATAAGAAACACAGTATTCGAAGCACTTTAAAAATATGCTTTAGCAATCTGAAATATTTTTTCATACAAATACCTTTTTATTTGGAAATAGCACGAAATAGTATTGTACATGCATTTTTCACTTCTGATGCCATCAATCAAAAGATTTCCACGGTGAAAGATCAGGAGTCTTAATGTATTAAAAAAGAATAAATTATAAACGAGAATTTTAGAAGAATAAAATAAATATTATAAACTTAGCACTAATTACGTGATGAAAAGTCTTATCTATATCTTTGTACTTTCGAGAAGATAATATAGGAATTATATTACTTTTTTGTGTATATAATTCATAAAATATAAATAATAAATAATTTATAAGTTATACATTGCAATATAAAGAAAATTATCTGCAGAATCTATACTTATAGTTTATAAATTTATAAAAAAAATGTTGACCACATTATAGGATTTAATTACTATACCATTTTGTTTAACTTTTTACATTAAAATTGTCTTAATATATTAATATGTCTTCCAAATATCCTTTTGTAAGCCAAATATATATTATTACACTGCTCAAAAGAATTATAGCATAGATAATTTATTGCCGAAAATTGGCCAACTTTGACTGGCGATTACTTCGCGAAAAATTATTGTAGATTAATGACTTTTTTTTCAAAATGAAGCTTGAAGTCTCTATTTCAAAAATATATCTCCATTTTTGGCATGCGATGCACCCCTACTCCTGTAACCCCTGACATCTGAGGTCATGTTTGGTATACTGAAAGTTGTAAAGTTTGACGAAATGCACGCCTATTCCTGTAACCCCAGACATCTAAGGGCATGTTTGGTATACTGAAAGTTGCAAAGTTTGACGGAATGCACGGACGTGGACAATTTTTTTTCGGGGACGCCATTTGCATCGTCATAAAGTTCAAATCTTCCCTTTTAATTTGAAAAAAAATGGAGTCGCTACAATTTTTTTTTTCAAATTGAAAGGGAAGATTTGAACTTTATGACGACGCAAACGGCGTCCTCGAAAAAAAGTTGTCCACGTCCGTGCATTCCGTCAAACTTTGCAACTTTCAGTATACCAAACATGCCCTCAGATGTCAGGGGTTACAGGGATAGAGGTAGGGGTGCATCGCATGCCAAAAATGGAGATACATTTTTAAAGTAGAGACTTCAAGCTTCATTTTGAAAAAAAAGTCATTAATCTACAATAATTTTTCGCAAAGTAATCGCCAGTCAAAGTTGGCCAATTTTCAGTAATAAATTATCTATGTCATAATTCTTTTGAGCAGTGTACATATTATTAATCACAAATCTAATTTAATTTCATTACTTCATAATAATACAATTCTTAAATAATATTCTGTAAAATTATGTATAAAAGAACAATGGGTAAAAAACATCAATTTTGGCCTCTCATGGGAAATGGACAAAACATATAATTTCCAGAGGATGCTGAACACGATGCCGTCGTTAGTTTTGGTTTAAACGGGAACATGTTCTAGTCCGAGGATCTGTTATCCAATAATCGAATGGCCCGGGAAGCCATTGTACAAACTTTGAAGCTATTGTAAACTCGTGTATTAGCTAAATTAGCTGAAGACAGTTTAGATTTTCGATTTAATAGAATTATTTTCGATTTAATAGTTGAAAGTGTTCTTTTTATGCAAAATTTGCTGTAATATACACGGCATCACAGACCACTCGCGCCACCCGAGTTTTTTGTAAACACGACATTTTGGGGAAAAATGTTTCAGACAAAAGTTGTATGGTTTCAAAGAGGACATATAATAACTATATTATTTTGTTTATAGATGGCGCTATTTTCAAGATATTCACTGATAATTACTTTTCCTAAACGGAAACTCCAATTTTTTATTATATCATTTTTTACTACCAATTAATTTTAACAACTTTTGTCTGAAACCTTTTCCTATTTGCCTAATAGTTATTGAGATATTTAAGGAAAACTCGGTAACTTTTTCAATATTTAACTTACGATATCTCGCTAACTGTTGTCGCAAGAAAAAATGGTACTAGACATTTTTATTCTATTTAGTCTCCAGAATATATTGTTATAAGAGCGCCCTGACTTTGTTAATTTGATGATTTTGAAATTTCCAAAGGTCGATAAGTTAACAAAAAGTAAGATTTTGTCTGAAACATTTTTCCCTAAAATGTGTTTACAAAAAACTCGGGTGGCACGAGTGATCTGTGATGCTGTATATGTTATAGCAAATTTTGCATAAAAAGAGAACACTTTTAACTATTAAATCGAAAATAATTCTATTAAATCGAAAATCTAAACTGTCTTCAGTTAATTTAACTAATACACGAGTTTGCAATAGCTTCAAAGTTTACGCAAAGGCTTACCGGGCCATTCAATTATTGGATAATAGATCCTCGAATTAGAACATTTCCTCGGGTTTTAAATAAAAACTAACGACGGTATTGTATTCAATGAGTTAAAATCTTCTAGAAATGTTTTGTCCGTTCCCCACGATGGGTCAAAATTTGCCTTTTTCACTTATTGTTCTTTGTGTAATTTAAATTGCAATATATATTTTCGTTCTTTCCAAACACAAATTTAAATATATGCATACGTTTTACGAAACTGTTAATTAAATGCTATTGTAAGGAGTTAACGTATCTTCATACTATAAAACGCCCCCATTTTTACATTCTTCTTAATTAGTTGTTAGTTATATATCCAAAATTGTACGTTGTCTCTTAAAATTATATATATGTGTATATATTTCTCTTGAATATTTCAATTCTGGAAGCATGATAAGTTATACATGGCTTGACATAAAAATAAAAAATATAATTAAAATTATAAATGTTAATGTATTTTTACATTATTTACTTAATTATAACTTATTCTAAATTATTAAACTTCTTATAAATTATACACGTTTATGTGGAAACATCTATTTGAAATCACAAATGTCTAAAGATATCTATTTACATTTGCATTTATAAGCATTACTAAATATCGCAAATTCTGGTGCGTATGCACATGTGCATGCGCATTTGTCACTCAATTTTTTTATAAATTGTAAATTTATATTCGATGAATTTTTGTCATAATATTTCTGACTTTTTGCAATACTTCTGTCATTTGTTCATACTTACCCGTTGAATCGGGCAAATTTTCAAAATTTAAAACATTACAAATGTTTCTGGAGAATTTTTCTGATGATGGTAATTTGTTGTACGGAGAGATACTTTGTAATATTGGTGTACCTAAATCTACCAACTTAACCGAATTTTTACTTGTATTTAAAGAGTTTTGCAAAGTAGAACATTTAATTTCAGTGTTATTTTCCGGTGTAATCATAATATCGAAATTGCTTTTAAGTGAAACATCTGGATTAGATTGCGAACTGGTTTCTTCAAGTTCTACAAGTAACTGTTTTTTCATGTTTTCTAATTCGGGTAAAGATGGTGAATTTGCTCTGCATAAGGTAGTGTCATCCTAAAGAATATAATAATCACAAATTTAAATCATAAATTCAGAAGAAATATCATAGTAATATTTTTCATAACATACCGTATAGGAAAGTAATTCTTGAGATCGCGAATCCAAATCTTCCATTACTACATCTATTCCTGGTGATGGTGGTGGCGGTGGTGACGGTGGTGGCGGCGGTGGTGGCAACAATGATGTTAATTGGTTTGGTAATGGTGGTACGAAATGTCCATTAACAACCACATTTTCGATAGAAGCTTCTATTTAAATAAAATAAAAAAGTTCTTTGTATCTTAATAACATAAGAAAAAATAATATAACTTAATAACATAAGAATAAAAATATGTGTTAATAACATAACATAGTTGATAGCAAAAGAATTATCATTACTTTTCTATCTTCTTTTTCCATGATTGTTTCTAGTAAAGCAACTTCATACTAGGAGTAATAAATCTCATATATGTTATTTTAAATTATATTATATAAATTATATTAAACTATATTGTACCTTCAGCATCTTCTATGTCCATTTCACAAGATATTATTTTTTCCGAGACATTTGCTGATGTAGATAGTTTTAATTTCTTACGCTTATAACCATCATTTGTTTCTTTACCTTGCAGACATAATAACATCGCTTCTTTACTATGCATGGGATGCATTTGTGGTGCATAAAATTTATAACATTCCTGATTAATAGATTAAAATTAATAAAATGATCACGGTTCATAGATACATAATCTATTGTAGATGAAAAAAATCAATACCAATGCAAAACCAATGCAAAATATAAATTGCAAAACTCACTGGTATGGATCAAGGATGGCAAAAAACTGACTTGCTATATGTGAGATATGGGGTTTTTAAGTTATAGTATTCTACATATGGTAAATCTATAAATAATTTGTGTATTACTTTCTTCAAATTTTTTTGTACGATATTTTGTTCAAATTCTTATAGGAATCAAGATTTGTTCAACTTTATTTCTCATTTATAAATTCAGTTTTGCAATATATATCTCGCGTTTGCCTTTATTGACTTTTCTGACTACAAATTAAAAATATGTTGCATCTTATGATGCAAAATTATTTTCATAATACAAATGTCAAATATATAAGAATCACTTACATCAATGGTGCCAGGAGGAGGCGGTACATTAAAGCCAGGAAAATCATATATTTTTTTTATATCATATTGATCCCTATTTGTATCCATAGTGATTTCTCGTGATTCGTCATGTGTTTCAATTTCTGCTATCCCATCAGAATTAAATAATGATAATCCAGAAGGTTGTAAACACACTTCTTCTAACCATCCAGGAGGATAGCCAAGTGATCTCATTCTAAGAAAATACATTTTGGACATACAGAAAAAATAAAATCTTCTTAATCCATTAGATTGAGAATTGAATTTCTCTTCTTCTTATTTTAATGTAATACTCAACATCAAGTAAATATTTTTATAATATAATGAAGTAGAAGAACATTTACATGTTACAAATAGAAAGTGATATGAATTAGGTGGGAGAACCCTACTATTGATAATAGAGATAAATATAAATACAAATTTAAGCAACAGAAAGATAGGAAGGAGTAACTTTACAAAATTCAATGGATTATGAATGGATACCTGTATATATGCTTAGGTAATTCATTATCTTTTAATCCTAGGGCTGCACGTAGCTTTTGACTTAATTGACCAGGAATTATATGACTAAATTTTTGTTCTTCATTTAAATGGTAACGGACTCCTGATCTCATATGTTTTACAGCAAAATCTTTACGATTTTTATTAATACTCGCTTGATTTCTAGGCAACTGACAATCTCGCAGATTGTGATTACCTTCACAATTAAAACAACTCATTTTCGGTGCTGGATCTTTCAACATTTCAGAATCTGGTTCCTCAAATGTACTTTTATATTTCTGAAATAAAATAATGTTGCTTATAAAAACAATAAATATAAAGAGAATAAAATTTATATTCTTTAAATAAGTAAAATCAAATATATTAATTTTATATACACACATACATACACACACAACAAGATGTCATGTATACATCCATTTATATAGAGGTAGAATTCATAAAATGAAATTTTTGAATCAACAAAAATGATTATTTTTAAAAATATTTGATGGTTAAGGTATTAATTAAAAAATAATAAATAAATATACATGATAGAGTAACACAGATCTTTAGGCAAAATCTTATTCAAAATGATTTATTTAAATTTATAGACAATCTTTTATCAATGGGACAGTATATAATATTGGACAGTAGAAGTGTTCCATCTAGCATTACATATTGCTCGCTGTTGTTAAAAAATTGTCAATGAATTCAGACAGTTTCAATGATTCAATGATTCAAAGTTTCAATGAATTCAAAGTTTCAATGAGACTTTGCTGCAAAAAGAATTTATCCTACCTAATATATACATTTACTAATTTTCTTTAATGTTTCAATAATTATTGTAGTTGCAAGATGGAGTACAAAAGTCTTTTTCATCTAATTTGTTCAGCAAATTTTATCTTAGGAAGAAATATACATATTATCAGACACTATATATGTATATATATTGACATAGTTACTTAGTAATAATACAAAAATAAAAAATATAAGATAAAATTAACAAACCTTTCCATAAGTAGGTATATCAAAATCATTTGTTAACTTTGGTTGGGTATCAAATAGTAAATCACATGTAACATTGCTGCTTTCTATACTATGATTATTGGATAATGATATAATATTATTCTTTTTATTAATAGACAAATTATCTTGAAATATTTTCTTATCCCAGATTTCTAATACCAAATTGGATGTATTCACATCTTCCTCACAGGGCAATTTTGACTGCACTAAAGTATATAAGAAATCTCTTATTTTTTGTCGATATAGCCTGTAAACAGAAATTCTATAATCTATAAACAATTTATCATAATAATAAAATACTTTATGATTTAATTCATATATCTGACATCTATTTTATATATATATATTTTATATATATATATATCATAAAAGATGTTATATAAGTCATTTTATCTTTAATAATTTTAAATTTCAATGTATAAGATCACAATTAAGTGCAATTATTTTATTTTGAATTTATCAATAGATTTAAAATTTATTTCTATTAATTTAGTTGAACACGTCTGAATCTTTATTTTTATATAACTCTTGTTCTTCCAGAGTAATTTTTAAATTAAACATTTTAACGTGTATGCTTTTTGTACTCAAAAATATGTAAAATATATGATCGTACCGTGAAATACTCTCATCACGGAACATAACCTTAAAAATAGGTTTTAAAGTGATATCATTAAGTTGTAACGATGATGGATCTTCATTGGTGTTAACATCGGTCTTAATCATATCATCAACTCCACTATCAGCATTAATATAATCAGAAGAGAAACATTTATTGGCATTTCTCGATTTATAACTCTGATTATCAAGACAAATGATCTCGTTGGCGTTGAAACTCGAGTCTAATTTAACTACCTCTTCTTCGAATTTTTCAATTGTAATTGTCGAATTCATGTGAATATCATCCATCATACTTGTTTCAAACACATAAATATTTCCGTAATTCACCATAAATATACAATACTTCAAATTTTCTAATAAAAACGTCTCGCATTCGCTCTCCTAACCATCATTAGATACTTTCGAAAGAATATAGTACCATAGAGACGCCCGAGAGCAACCATTGGGCCAAATTCTAAAGGACACTTTTTTCGACGCGCCCCCTGAGAAAGTATATATAAACTACGTCCCGATGATAACAACAAAGTGTCCATGGTTTTTGTTCACTCTACTTTTTTACAAAAATTGTAAGTTAGAAAAGCATAGTCGACCAATCGCTCTTTGTTTTTGTCTTACCACCGATGAGCAGACTGCACGGCAGGAGTAAATACGAGACAAGTATGCAGCGATTGTATCACTAACAAGAAAGATCCCAGGTAGAACATAGAAACAGAGGCTGCGTTCCGGTATTCACTGCCAGTACTAAAAATATATAGTATGCGTCACGTATATTATAGATCTTCAGTACTGACAGTGAATATCGGAACGCGCCCCCAGCCAGAGAGAAGCCTGAGAGCGGGCATGGCTGCATTTACAGCGTTATCGAAATATTGACTGATTCGAAGCGCCAACTGGGTCATTTTTCATGGAAATGAACTACTAAGCCAATGTCCACGATTTGTTGGTACTATTCCGTTCTATGTCCATAATTATTTGGTTCTGTTCTGTGCTATGTTCACGAGCGAGCTGGATTAGTTAGATAAAAACGGAGAATCGGTCTTTGTCTCACCACCAGCGAATAGACAATCGCGACGATAAACTGAAGCGAGCCAGCAGCGATCTTATCGTAAGACAGACGTCGGCGTTCTCCCTTTCATTCCCTGATTTTCTATTCACGTTGCTTTATATTCATAATTCAGGAAGAAAATAATTTCGAGAGTTCGGACGGTTTCTAGCCATGAAGTGATAGAGATAACGCACGGCCAAATTAATTTGTCATGACTTTTATATTACTTATAATTACATAAACGCTCATATATGCAAATTATAGATAATTATTGCGCGTATATTTTAATATTGTACAATGGTATATAATAACAACAACTTCATTTTTTGCAGTAATATTTTTAAGATCTTCGTTGAGGTCGTGAATTTATTTTTTTCTTCATCAATCAGTTTTTTGCAAAAAGCAAGATTTCTTAAATAAAATATAAAATGTTTCTCTTTTCTTCTCTCCGAAGAGTTAATTAAAAATGTGTACTCCACAGAGTCAACTAAAAAATGTATACTCAGGAGAGTCAATGTATTCCGTGAAAGTGTACTCCGAAAAGTCAATTTAATAGCGTATTCCGAAAAGTCAATTTGAAAGTGTACTCTGGAAAATCAAATTGATATTGTAACCCGAAAAGTCAGTTTATAATAGAATATTTATTTCGATGATTCAGCTAAAGCAAAAATATTTATTATTATATCGAGAGAATAATATTTAATTTATTATTTATACTTATCTTACTTACGCTTACCTTCTTTGAACGAAAAATTTAATTTGTTGACTGATTCAGATTCAGATTTGTTAAATATCTCTTATGCGCAACTCTTGAACAGGTAGGTAGTAAAATAATTTTCTTTCTTTACGAATTTTATAAACTTTTCACGAACACAAGAATTGAAAGATTCTCAGAGAACAAATAACTTTTCTTGAACATTTAAACCAAAGGAAAACCTTTTCCCATTAATAAAGAATGAATAATTAATATCTCATACAAGAGAAATCTTCATCCTTGAAATCACCGCGCGATTTTGCTTTTAGAAAAGTATAATATTGATGTAATAGTAACAAATGCTATCCAAAAACGGTGCAAATCTTAAACGTTTTTGAGAAATGCAGTTTGAAGTTTAGTCTTTTCTGTTAATGTCGTTATAGCAGAAGAATTACCAATTTGCTTCAGTAGCGCAGTGGATCAGGCTTTGTGATATGAGCGTAGAGGTTGTTCAAGTGTGTTATTTTTACTATCACAGGGAGAACTATGTAGAATGTATAATAATACGCAGACAAATTCTTTACATAATCATACTTATTTCTTTTAGCATGAATAAAAGTGATCAATGCTAACGTGATGAGTGTATATCGCAATTGTACGTGTACACATACACACATACGTACACACACGTATAACAATGATGTCAAAACCGGACAATTTGTGAAAATTTTTTTATTGATCGCAATTGTACGCAAAGACGAAAGAGAAGTACACGGGTCTCCGCGGGTATCTCGTCATATTAATTGTCTATGAGCTGATAAACAGTTGATCTCCGGTATTTACAAGTTACGCTTGTCCGCAACTTGTTCGGTTTTGACATCATTGGTATCAGTGATGCGAATTTGATGACGGGCTTGCACGAGGATTCCCCCCCCCCCCCCCGACATGCTCGCACACAGCCAGCTCGGTCTATCCGTGTGAGCCACGCGTCGGCATTCGTCGACGCGCCGAGCGAGCGAGAGAGAGAGAGAGAAACAGAATATCATTCTCTCCTTGTCGCTCTCGTTCTCGCTCAGCGAGCAAGCCTAATTCTTTCTTACCCATAATCTGAATCGCAGACGCTACTGTCTCTCTCTCCTTTCCTCCTTATGACAATACTGAAAAGTTTTGTCTACCCGGCGCACCGAAATTATTACAAATAATATTTTATTATTAATAATATTATTATTTGTAATATATATTATTTGTAATATTATTATTTGTAATTTTATTTGTAATTGTATAATAATGTTACAAATAATACAAATTTTTACAAATTTTATTTGTAAAAATTTATATCATTCGTAATATTATTTGTAATAGTATTAATAATATTCGGCACCAAGAAAATTAAATATATTTTATTAATTATTTTGCGGAGTCGGCAGGTTCACAGGTTTGATTATTGAATTGGTTTAATAATATTTTAAGAATAATTTAAGTTATACAAGGATGTAGTATGAAATATAAAAGAATATTGTAACAGAATCAAGAAGTACGAAATGAAACCTCTTTGCTTTTATTACAATATCCTGTAAGTTAATAAATATTTTTCATACAGTATTAAATAATCTCCAAAACAATTACATCCGTGAAATTTTCTATCTGCGCGAAAAAAAATTCATAAAATATATTTGTTTCGTCGCTCTAAATGAGAAAACTCTCAGAACAATGTCATAGTTGTTCAGTGCACTACTCAATAAAAATATAATAATACTATGTTTGTATGTGTGAAGAATATTTGTTAACTTACAGGATATTGTAATAAAAGCAAGGAGGTTTTATTTCGTACTTCTAAGGCCAAGACTTATTAACGGCTAAAGACATATTCGAATTGATCTTGCCTTAATTGGTCGGATCAGTGATCGGTCTTGCCTTAACTTCCAAGCCTCATAACTCGGAAAGTACTCATGAAATGTAACTTTGTTAGAGTGTTTTGGAAAGCTCTCGAGATAAGCTACAAGAATATGTAATAAAAAATTAGTTTCTATTTAAAAAACATTAATGACTTGGCCTGATTTTGACAAGGTCACTCAAGGTCAAGTCCACATTTCCGTCATGTGTCGTCCTTCAAGCCATGCAACTTTCGTTCGAAAAATTTTTTAATAAAATCATCGATAATGGACCATATCACTTTAGTTAGAAAAGTCTGGAAACGGTCAAATACCTCGAAAACGAAACATTTTTAAGAAAATGTTTCCAACTAAAGTTGTAGGGTTTTAAAAGTTCTATTGAATGATCATATCCGGTTGACCTGAGTAGAGGAGTCAAGGCGAGGTCAATGCCAACATGATTTTTTTAAGGAACATCCATTTTTATCACACAGTGTTAAAGATGACGAGACGTTTCCAAAACACTACTTGATGACCTATTTTTGTTGAGAATTGTCTGAGTTATGAGCTTTAGAATTTACGGTGCCGCAGCATTATATTCAGGATGTACCGCGTGGAGGTTGCATGGTCGGACTTTACACCCCCCTGTGTGTGTGTGTGGTGTGCGTGCGTGTGTGTGCGTGCGTGTGCGTGTGCGTGTGTACTGCGTGCGTGCGCACGTGTGTAGTGTGTGTGTGTGTGTGTGTGTTGGTGTGTGTGTGTGTGTGTGTGTGTGGTGTGTGTTTTGTGTGGGTGTGTGTGTGTGTGTGTGTCAGCACAGATAAGGACTATGCAGTAGTAGTGCGTCAATTTTTAACTGACACTTTCCCAAACCGATGGATAACAAGATGTGGAGAAATAGAGTGGCCCTCTAGATCAGAGATCTTTCTCCATTGGACTACTTCTTATGGAAATATGTTAAAAAAATGTGTACGGAACGAAACTTGCTAACTTGGCAGACCTTAGGGAACGCATACTGTACACCAAATACATCTATTTCACCAAAAATGAGACGAAACGTTTTAAATGAATT